TCACTGTGGTTTTGAATAGCATTTCCCTAATAACTAATAATGTCTACCATCTCTTCGTGGGTGATACAGAATGAACTGTGTCCCTCCAAATTTCATATGTTAAAACTCTATAGCTCCTAATGTGACTATATTTGGAGATAGACCTTTTAGGGAGGTAAGTAACATTAAATGCAGTTATAAAGGGGGCGTGCCATGTGAGGACAATGAAAAGGCAGTCCTCTACAACCCAGGAAGAAGTCTCACCAGAAACCAACCCTGATGGAACCTTCATCTTGGACTTCCAGTCTCCAGAGCTGTAAAAAAAACAAACTCCTGTTGTTTAAGCCACCCAGATTAGGGTTCCACGGCAGCCCTAGCAGGCTGATGCAATGAGCTTACTGGCTATCTCTATATATTCTTTGGGAAAACGTCTATTCAAATCCTTTGCCCATTTTTCAGTTAGGTTATTTATCTTTTATTGTTGAAATTTAAGAGTTCTTTATACTATATTCTAGATATAAGTCCCTAATCAGAGATATGATTTGCAAATATTTCCTCCCATTCCATGGATTGTCTCTTCACTTTCTTGATGTTTCCTTTGAAACACAAGAGTTTTTAATTTTGATGAAGTCTAATTTATTCACTTCTTCTTTGGTTGCTTTGACTTTGGGGGTCATATCTAAAAAACCACTGTCTAATCCAAGGTCACAAAGATTTACTCCTATTTTGTTCTAAGAGTTTTTCAGTTTTAGCTCTTGCATTTAGATCTGTGATCCATTTTGACTTAATATTTGTACACGGTATGTAGCAAAGGTCCCATTTCATTCTTTTGCATGTTGATATCCAATTGACTAAGCATCGTTCATCTGGTTTTTTTTTAATTGTAGCTTTTTAAAAAATTGTTGTAAAATGGACATTACTGAACATTAAATTAGATGCACACCATAATGACTGAATATTTGTAAATACTGTCAGCACCATTTGTTGAAAAGACTATTCTTTCCCCACTGAACTGTGCTGAACCCTTGTCAAAAATCAACTGACGTAAATGCAAGGGCTGAGGGAAGGTATAGCTCAGTGGTAGAACGTGTGCTTAGCATGCCTGAGGTCCTGGGTTCAATTTTTGGTAACTGCACTAGAAATAATAAGTAAATAAATAAACTTAACTCCTTCCCTCTCCAAAAAAAAAGATAAATAAATGCAAAGGATTATTCCTGAACTCTCAATTCTATTCCATCAGTCTACATGTCAATTCTTAAATCAGTAATAGACTATATTGATTACTGTAGCTTTGTGGTAAATTTTGAAATTGGAAAGTGTGACTCCTCCAACTTTGTTCTTCATTTTCAAACTGTTTTGGCAATTCTGGGTCCCTTGAATTTCAATATGAATTTTAACATCAGTTTACCAATTTCTGTAAAAAAGGCAACAGGATTTCAACAGGGATTATACTACATCTGTTGATTAGTTTAAGGAACACTGCCATCTGTTAAAGGCTGAATCATTTCCCCCTAAAAGATATGCTGAAATCCTAATCCCAACACCTCTGAATGTGACCGTGTTTAGAAACAGGGTCTTTGCAGATGTAATCAAGTTTAAATGAGGTCACATTAGATTAGGGTAGGCCCTAAATCCAATGACTGGTGTCCTTAGAAGGTCATGTAAAATCATCTTTCGATCATTTTCATTATAAAGGATTTTAGAATTTCCATGAGCTCAATTAACTGTCTTCTATGTCTCATCAGGGTTCTTTCCTTATAGATGGCTAAACTACAAATGTTGGCTTGACAAAAATAAAATAGAGGGCTGAAGGACTGTTTACATGGCTCTCAGTATCAAATAATCTCCCTACAACTGTCTGAACTTGACTAATCGGAGATTGATTTGAATGCTTTTTAAAATAAAATTTGTATCCAGGAAAAAAAAAAAAAAGATCATGTGAAGACAGAGGGACACAGAATCACAGGGAACAAGGCCATGTGAAGACAGAGGCAGAGAAATGAGTGATGCATCTATAAGCCAAGGAGCACCAAGGACTGCCAGCAACCACCAGGAGTGGGGAGAGAGGCACAGAAAACATTCTCCCTCAGCCGCCAGAAGGATCCAACTCTGCCAACATCTTGATTTGGGACTTCCAGCTTCCAGAATGGTAAGAGAATGAATTTCTGTTGTTTTAAGCCACTCTGTGGTAATTTGTTATGGCAACCCTAGAAAACTAATACACCATCTAAACAGTATTAAATGTTCTGACCCATAAACGTGAAATGTCTTTCCATTTATTTGGGTCATATTTAATTTCCTTCAACAATGATTTTATAGCTTTCAGTGTACAAATCTTATACTTCTTGGGCTTAAGTATTTTATTCTTTGTGATGCTATTGTAAATGGAATTGTTTTCTTAATTTTGTTTCCAAATTGTTCATTGCTAATGTACAGAAATACGACTGATTTTTCCATACCAATTGTGTATCCTACAACTATTGTTGAACTCATTTGTTAGTTCTAACATGTTTTTTGTGGATACCTTAGTTTTCTATACACAAGATCATGTCACCTGTGAACAGAGATGGCTAAACTTCTTCCTTTCTCTTACCTCTTCCTCTTTTTTCTTCCCTTGCCTAACTGTGCCAGCTAGACCCTCTAGGACAATATGGAGTAAAAGTGGAAAGAGCAGACATTCTTGCTTTGTTTCTGATCTTAAAGGGAAAGATTCAGTCCTGTACCATTAAGAATGCTGTTAGCTGTGGGGTTTTCATAAATGCCCTTTATCAAACTGAAGAAGTTCCCTTCTGTTCCTAATTTAGTATTTTTATCATGAAGAATGTTGGATTTTGTCAAATGCTTTTTCTGTACCTCTTGATATGATCATGTGTATCCTTAAGATTTGAACACAATTAGAGCTAATTCTATAATTTGGTTCATAACTTAATATTAATTATTCTTATTCCATATACAATGCCTCCCCTAAGGAACCTCAGGGTTAATTTCTTTATGCACATGTCAGTAATAAAGTTCTGACAATTATTCAGTTTATCACTTTTTCTTTAAAATACTGTAAACATACTAATAAAGTGGCTATATTTTGGCCCCTACGGACAAATAAATAAGAGGGACAGGCCCAGTCTCCAAGAAACTCAAAACTCAGAGATTAAATAAATAACCATTTTAGTGGATACTAAGAGACCTAAATAGACAAGTGTAAGCATATACCAGGGAGGGTGGAAGGAGAGAGGAGGTAAGCATAGAAGTTCAATATTTATAGAGAGGCGTTAATCCAGAGAAAGAGGGAGAAAAGAGGAAAGGGTATTCTGCACAGAAGTAGTGGTGCATGCAAAAGTTACAGAAGTGAGAAAGTGCACACAAATCTGTATTGCTGACAGGGATTACTATGTGTGCGCAGGTGTCTGTGGCAAGAAAAGCTGTGGTACCAAGAGATGACACTGGAGATATGGGTCAGGAGACTTGTACTGTTATCCTTTCCATTCAGGGTAGACTGATATAGTCCGAAAGGAGCACAAAACTTTTTAGCTACACTTGCACCTAATACTTACATAATGCTTCCCGCTCCCTAAAGGGGAAAAAAGTGTACAGAACACTGCATCATCAATATATTCATATAAATACACACACACGCACACAAGCACACATTCATCTGTTCTTATTTGTTTCCCTCCACCTTACCAACATATTCTGAATTTTCATCTACTATCTAAGCGCTAGCTGTAAGGAGTCCTTGTTATATCACATTATTTGCTTTCTCTAAGGCTCTTTCTCCCATCTTCACTTGCCATTACTGAAAATTAAGAAATATCACCAACCTATTGCCACTTGGATACTGCACGACAATGTCATGGTCTTCATCAATGCCACAGACAGTTCCAGTTGTAGTTAAAGTCTCAAACATGCCATCAGTCCATCCTCCATGACCATGCTGCAAAGACTGTACAATTTCTAGGTCAAGATCTATATTGACCAGGTCACCAATCTGCAATCCACCAGGATTCCTGTTGCCATTCTGCTCACCTATAATTGCAGAGGGAGTTGACAAAGGAAAAGAAAAATCACAGCAGCAACATTAAACCGCATTGTTTTAAATAAGAAAAAGCCCCAGTTATTTTAGTTTTAGTTACCACCTAATCTAAAATGTCTTGAGAATATACTGTGAGTATCAAATTCTAAAATGAGAGAGCTTTAAAAAAAGAAAGAAAACAAGTATCAGACTCAAAACAGAAACAACTTTTTAATTTATAACCATGACCGAAGAGGAGCAGAATCTACAGAAGACTAGGCAACCTTCTATCAGAACACAAAGTTCTGGGCACTGATAATATTCACCTTTCTCCCTGGATGACTTGTTGACTATTGCTCCATCAGAGCCAAGATAAATGACTAAAGAATATGAAAGAGAACGCTAGAATTTTTTTTCTCTGAAGTGCTTAGTATTATTTTTCACCAAAATGTTCTTGTGATTTTTGCCTACAGAGCATTTTAAAATATTTCAAAGTTCATTTCTGAGATTATTTCCAAAGCTACTCCTGGGATAAAGGATTCATGATCATAATACATTATTTTGGGAGATCCTAAATGTGTATGTTGATTCTACACTTTTCTAGGAAAGGCAAGATACAAAACAAGAAAGTTTCAGAAAGCAAAAGAAAACAATGATCTGAGAAAATGATGATCTCATCAAAGCTATAAGTATTTCTTCTACAATCTCCTTTTTTATAAAAACTAAGGTATGCTGCAAGAAAACAGCACTTTTTGCTAATAAGGCAAATTAAATGATTTGGAAAGAGGAACACAGAGTTCATATGAGAAAGGAAAGCATTCAGAGACTAAAGGCTTAATCAGGAGAACGTGGTAAATGTTCAACTTGGCAACACGGAAGAATCTGTAAAACAGAAGCAGTTTTGGTTTCCTTGTTCTTCTTTATTTCAATGATACATGAAATTATATTTATCATATTATCTTAATCTTGGAGCTATTCTTACATTTTCAAAGGAATTTTACAAAAATTCTGAAGACTTTATAAGCATTAAATTATCAGATCCTATTCTCAAGAGTGTAAGAGATATAACACTGACAATCTAACACAAAATTTTTCAACAATGTTAGTTTATGGTTAAAAGACAAAAGTTTCAAATATAGTATGCCCTATAAATGCTATATCAATTTTCAAGACACGACAACTCTTTCATGGTCTAAATAAATCATTAAAAAAGAACAAATGCTTTAAAAACAAAATAAAACCAAAAGAGGATCTCTTTAAATAGCTTTAATGGTAACTAATTTTTTTAAAGCCCAATTTAAATGCTCTTCTGATTCCATGAACTCTGACCCATTATTTAGTAATTTTCTCTAGTCTGCCAACTCACCTAGCACAGGGCAGTGATCTCTGTAGAAAGAACCTCCTTTGGCATCCTGGACACACTTCAGATCAGACTAAGAAAAAGAAAAGAAACCAGAAAAATCATGAAAACTTCAAGTATAGCTCAATACCTAAAAGAGGCAAAAATGTCCACTCAGAACCTATCGTGAGCAGAAGTCTAGAGTAACTCTGGATTAACAGTTCCACTGAACACTACTTTCAAAAACACCCATCAAAAACTATAAACCTGATGTTCAGATAGGTCATATTTTACCTTAATGTTCTTTTAAAGTTCAAAATTAAAATGCCTGTATCTTTACCATTGTAATATTTTCAAAAACACATGCTAAAAAAAGGACTAAACCAAAAACCTTGTATTTCAAAAAGCACATAATATATTCCATTTTAAAGACACTGTTACAAAAAAAAAAACACCTCAACTCATTTGATCCTTCTGATCAAGTTTATGAAATATACAAGGCAGGTATTGACTCATTTTATAAAGGAAATTATCCAAAACTAAAAAGCCAGAAAGTAGAAAAAGATAGAACCAAATCTAGTCTTTCGATTCTTTGTCCAGTTAATTTCCTATTTATATCACCTTTAGTTCTTACTTTACCATAACTTGGTTAACTCAAGTTCCTTCCCACTTAGCTTTTATAAGAAATTATTTAAGTATCTGAATGGGAAGGCAGTTGTGGTATAATGAAAAGTACAGAAAATGTGAACTTAGAAGAACAACCTTGGGAGTTACTATGAAAATTCAGAAACAGATGTACCTAAAAGTGCTTAATGGTACCTGATATATATATATGTGTGTATATATATATATACATATACACACACACACACATATATATAAAGTGATCATTATATACTTACCCTATTAAGGAAAGGAACTCTTTTACACACACACACACACAAACAGAACTTAACTGTCTTTTACAGCCTCCTCTGCCACTAGAGCTCACATTTATTTCAATCCTAGCCAAAGAAACATGGGTCAAATTGTTTTCATGTGATAATTTAACCTAGCAATTCCACTTCTAGGAATCAATTCCAAGGAAACCCGTAACTGTACAAAGACATGTGCACAAGAATGCTTACTGAAACACTACTTGAAACAATGGGAAAAAAACCCCACCTAGATACCCATCAACAGAAATCTCATTGTGTAACCGAATGACATAACCATACAAAGCAGTACTTACTCAGCCACCAAAAAAGGGATCAATCTAAGTACATACTACTCATTAAGTGCCTGAGTGCACACAGCACAGAAGGCTGCGTTTGAAGCAAGTTAATTATCAGTTGGAATGCTACAAAAATCCAGTTTAAAAACAGGGAGAGGCATGAAGAAAATAATGGAAAACTCATAACCAATGCTATACAATTATAAGAACTGGCAAGTAAAGTATCCGTTTATAGAGTCCCAGAGCTTGCTCATATGTAAAAATGGAATAAATTATGGCAAAGGCACAGTGGGGTATCTTTCTCTCACCTAATTAGAGCATAAAACAGTTGGAGAAAAAATGAAATTTAAGAATTCTTTGAATGAAAAATGTATTCAAGATGGAAAGGATATAAAAGGCATTCATATTCTGGCATTAATAGAATATTTAATTACACTCTATAAACAGCTAAGGTCAACAATGATTCATGACGTGCAGAAATACAGGGCGATCCATTGAATAAACTGCCATTAGTCTCTTTAAGCACTTAAGTAATTCACGATGTTTCTAGGTCAGTCATTTCCAATTATCAACACCATGCTTTAAAAATACAGGGGAAAAAACTCCTTAAAAATAATCTTAACACCTATTGTATTAAATTCTCACTTTACAGATGTTCCCTTCTATTGCATATTCATGATACAGATGCTGTATTCTGACAAAAAGAGATGACAAAAGAAAAGAATGAAAGAATACAATAAAGGCTATTTTTATTTCCCTTTTTTCACCCATCCAATATTTTCATCTTCTGTGATTCTTACACCTACCATGCCCTCAAAGCCAACTCTGTAAAGGTTCTTAGCACCATTATCCCAGAGAACGTAGGCTGCGCTGTGTGGGCTCGATGCACTCCAGTCTTGGATTTCTGTCACCTAAGGGAATTTTTTGAGGGGGGAAAAAAAACAATTTAAGGGGAGAGATGGGGTTGGTTCTTTTAATTATACTTACATCTTAAAAAATTATTTCAGCTATAATCTTGTGTAACAGGATTATGAAAAATACTTATTTGCCAAATATATGTCACTTCTAACATATAACTGAATTATACAGACATTTTTCCAGAATATTATACAGTAATTTCTAAAACCACCATAGATGTAGTAACCTGTAATGAAAAAGTATATGTATATATAATATCTATATGTATAACTGAATCACTAAGCTGTACACCAGAAACTAATACAACATTGTAAATCAATGATATTCAGTTAAATAAACAAACAAGCAAATAAAACAAACCACGACAGTAATTTTAAATTGGGAGGCTTAGTGATTATACCGTGATGAATTATCAGAAAATACAAAATTCAATACAAAATTTAAAATCTTTAAAGGGTCCCTTCTAACAACAGTGTATTCTTTTAAACCTATGACTTGATATAAAATTTAAAATCTTTGACTAAATACCCTGAATAATTCAAAAAAGGCCAGCTCTCCCGGCAGCTGAAAGCTGATAAGCATGGCCATGTTTAAAGAAGACTTGAGGGACTTGGCTCCTCCAGCAGTACCCCTCAGCTGCCCCCAAAAGCAAGCCATCTACTGTGCCTACAATGGAAACCTAGACACAATCTCTAGATCCCACATACCATCAGACTGATTCGTTAGCACATTTGACATTAAAAAAATAGTAATAGTGGGGTTGCTATTGCTTAAGGGCCAAGAATCAACTACACAAAAATGACACACAATGAGCACTAAACCTGGGTATTCTCAAGTGAACCAGTCTACAGTTCAGAATGGGAAGTTGCACACATGCAAAAGATTTAACTAAACATTTGAAAGATATTTCAAATTGTTAGCAAGTGAGACCATTTATTCTTTTTAATTTTAAAATAAATTATACACTATAAAAATGTATGTAAACTTTAAAAAATAATTTTAAAAATGAAATGAATACCAGATTAAGAAAAACAATATTGCCAGTACTTTTCAAGTCCCCTGTGTGTTTCTCATCAATCCCACCTTTCTGCCTCCCAGCAGAGGTAACTACTATCCCTAAACATAGAGTCACTGCCAGGCTTTGCTTCACGATCTTCACAACTAATCACGGTATTACCTTACAAAGCAAGAGTTTCTAACACTCTAAAGTGAAACGTGCAATTTTTAGCAAAAAATATCTTCTGATTCTAATATAGTCAGATTCTATTTCATTTATTTTTAAAAATGCAATGCTAGATTAAATTAAGTCTGTGATTTTATGAGGGGGACAAAAAAGCATCTGATCAACTGAAAAACAAAGATTATGAATTTTAATTAAATCAAATTCATCCTAAATTCATATTTCTTAGGATATAAGCAAGTTCATTACTCAAGTTCTGAATGACTAAATGAAAGTCCTTCAGTTGTTAATATGATCTGGTTTACTGAGGAGGAAATAAAGTGGAAGGCATAAGAAAATAACTACATTAATTTCACACTTCCAATTCTGATTAAGAAATATATGTGGAATGGCTGGCTGCTAAAACTATTAGGTAAATGGTTGCTAAGAAACTCTGTAAAGGATCAAACTGACAATACCTGCATCCACTGATCAATGTTAACACCACTAATAGCAGACTAATCAGACTTAATGTGCCTCCAGATGCAATGCAATGAAAATACACACCCCTGATGGGGTACTCTTGCCAAAATAAATTTGAACCTGAATCTATCACATCTCTATGTCTAACAACTAGTTTATAAGAAATACAATAGTTAGAGGAACAACAAAGAATACCATAAAGAATCAATCAGCCAAATCCAAAGAACCTGCTTTCCTTAACAAATAAGTGGCATTTTTTTAATGTCAATAATTTTTGAAGTTGGGTGTTAGATGCGTGGGAATTTGTTATACTATTCTTTCTATTCTGGTGTATGTTTGAAATTCTCCATAATAAAAAGTTTTTTAAAAAGAAGAAAATGTGTCTAGTGTACCTATATGAAACAATTAACACATATTCAAAAGCATTTGTAAAATGAAAACAGTCTTGAAATACTAATGCAGGTAGTTAAGAAACCCTTTAAGAATCCACTACACACTTCCACAGTGTCCTTACATCATGTCTGCCAAAGCCTGCACTTGACATGATCATTTTTGTGTTAACACTGTTGTCACTATGCAAAAATCGTGTATACGCTGGCAAGTGGTGTGCCACAGGCTGAGTCAGTACTGCAACATCAGCCTGGGCTGGTATACACCCCTTAATATAGTTCATACCAGCTATATAGTTGGGTACGTATAGTAATGACAGTGGGCTGGGAATCTTGAACCTCAATGGGAAAAAAAGGTAAGAAAAGAATACACTACACACTGTTCACATGGGTTACACAAGGGGATTGGAACAGAGCAGCCAGCATTAAAGGGAAAAGGAGGACTTTAAAACTGTCTTCATTCACACATACAGTCGAAAAGAATTAGACAATAAAAATTACATTTCAAACATGTGCTTAAACGATGTTACCCTGAAGACTACCTATTATACTTAGTTCCTTCACTCAGTCATATGTGCTAGATGGTTTCATTTATTTTGCCTCATTTTGTTCTTAAAATGGAACAAATATTAAACTGTAACAAGCCAAAGATGTAATACTGATGACTCAAAGCTTCAAGAATGCCATTCTTCATCCCCCTAAAAAGTGCCAATATAATAAAAAACCTAGAAAGTTCCATTTAGGAGGCTTCAGACTTCAGCAGCAACTGCTTTCAAAAGCTGATATAATTTTTTCCAGCCTTCTGACTATATAATTAAGTGTGATGAAAAATATAAAGTTAAAAAAATTTTTAGAATGAAAGTATTAAAAATTTACTTCTCATGCACTCTTTCAAAAGACGTTACTGGAATATGTGTACTCTACCAAAGCAATGAGTAAGCTAAGTACGATGATATAATGGGATACAGAAAACATGAGATCCAGCCAGGAAAGAGGCAAAGGCATCCAGCAAAGGGAGCTTCCAGGATGACTGATGGGTACCAGGCATCAAGGGCAAGCAATGTGTCTAAACTGCAGCCAGGTGATTCACAGTCCAGACATCCTGAAGGCTCTTACCACCAAGACCCCTACCACTATTGCACCATTTTATTGACCTGAGGACACACTGCCTGAGTGAGCCTGACCCAAATTCTCAAGTATATGTGGCTTGCTGGACTATGTAATGATGAGGTTCCCACTCTCCCCTCCACCCCCAATTTCCTGCCACCTAAATCAGCTGAGGTCTCTCATCTCACCCCACAGAATATTCTATTACCTACTCCTAAAACTTTGAGATGGATTAAGGCAAGTTTAGAAGCAAAAAGTGCATAGTAACTCAAGCCCTCTGACCATATTCCTGTCCAGTGCCCAGCACTGCTGCCCTGCCCTGATGTCCTGACTGTGTTGAGCCCTGTGTTTCCAAGGACTCACCAATAACTTTGCCTACTGACTACCCGAGAAGACTCTTAAAAATTCCCAGAGAAGTGAGACAGGTTATTCAGAGACTCAATTCAGTTTGTATTCTCCTGTATTTGTATTTCATCTGAAAGAGGGAATTCTGCTTTGTCCATACAATAGCTAGATTTGTGCCTGGCACCTGCATTCTCAAAAATTAAATCCTACATGTTACAGGACACAGCACTAAGTCACACAAGAATAAAGAAAAGTAATGGAATAATGACAGCAGGGATCAGTTACCTTGCAGGGCTAGGAACTGGGAAAGGATAAACAGAAGGCTTTTAAGGACACTCATAACATTCTATTTTTTAATCTGTATGTTGGGAAAAAAAGCTTACTTTGTAAAATTTTACTACTATTTTTTTAAACTTTAACATACTTTTTATATATCCTGTCGTGACACAGGGTTGCTCTAAATGGTTATGGAAGTTGTTCACTGCACAAAGGGCCTTGCCAAGGAGGAGAGTAGAGGCTGACTCCAGCCTGAGCTTGGCTTACCAAGACCTTAGGCAGTGGGGCAAGGCTGTTCCCACCCACAAAGGGGCACCTCTTCTCCGCATGTCCCCGTAACACCCTACTCATCTAGGGGTGGAGCCTTTCCCAAATTCACACTATTTTTTTCTTTTTAAAAATGTGCTTCTCAAACTTTAACGTGCACCTAAATAATTTAGGGATCTTGTTAAAATGAAGATCCTAATTTACAAAGTCTAGGTGGAAGGGAACCTAGTACCTATTAAACTGCTAACAAGCTATCAGGTGCACCAATACTCTGGTCCAGAGGCCACATTATAGTTACAGAATTTAGATTTATATTTTTGGTTGTCTATCTCCCCTAATTAGAATATAGATTTCAGGAGAGAAGGAACTTTGCCTCTTTTGTTTATTCCTATAACGCTCATGCTTGGAATAGAGTCCTGCACATAGTGAAATAAATATTTACTAAATTAAAAAAAAAAAAGCCTTGCTTCCTTAGTAAAAATCAAAGTACTTAAAATATAAAGGCTAAAATGTTTGATTTCCAAACATTAAAATTAGACCTTATTACTTAAAGTGAAATCAATATAACAATACATCTATTTAACAAAACATTTAAAAATCTTAAATTCAAGAGAATCTATATAGTTCCAAGTTGTATAAGAGGCTTCTGAGTTCCTAGGAAGAGTTCCTCAAATGACACAGACTTTAAAATTATCATTCCTTAATGCTAGAAACAATTTTTTAAAGCAGGTAACAGTGGAACTGATAGTGATTGATAACTAAGTCTCAAATGTGAAATATTATTCATTTCAGTGCATCTAGCATAACACAGAGAATATACATTCAACACTGGCTGATTGACTGAATCAATGAATGCATAATCAGTAAAGGTAACATGAAATCCAAAATAAATAAAACAACCCACTTACCCTACTACCTCTGGCTATCCCACCCTGTTAAAGAAGCTCCGCAAAATTCCCCTCAGAATAACTGACCTCCAGACATCTCTACATGTTACCTGAGGAGGGTAAAGAGTTAGTTGGACTGGATAACAAAGTAGCTGCCTATTACCCCTAAGAAATGGGCCTTTGAGGGAAGGGAATATAAAACAAGTAAATTCAAATGAAATTTTAATAACAAGAAAGTCAAGAGCATAAGCTACTGCTTAGGGAGAGTTGGCCTGAACAGGGTGTTCAGAAAGGCATTCTGGACAACAAAATGGCGATACAAAAAAAGGTGGAAAGGAAGCATCTACCGAACAATCTTCTCACTGAATGCCAATATTTACAACAGAGCAGGAATAATCTTTTTTCCCCCAGGAAAAGAAAATGAAAACTTAAAAACTGTTGTTGGCATAAAAAAAAAAAAATGGGCCAGGAAATTCAGTTTTAGTAGTCATAAAAACCTACTGAACATACAATATTCTAGAATAACATGATGAATTAAAAACAAACGTTTACCTTTCCCCTCCGTCCATTCCCTCCGTCCTGATCTTCCCACTGCCAGTCCACTCCTCGCACCACTCTGGCACCTGCAAAGATCCCTCTGGCTGTAATCTTCTTAGATTTTCTACGAGACTCTAACAGAACCCTAAAAATAAAATTATTTATTTTTAAATTTATATAAAAATAGGTAACAAAAATTATTATTTAAAACAAGATTAGAGAAAAAGATTATTTTGAAAATATAAAAGATTCTTCTTTGTTCTGGTTAACACCATAAGAGCATGTTACAGGAATTATCTTCCACATTCCATAAGTTACGATGATGAAGACAGTAGTAACTAGAATAATAACAGCTAATATCTACTCAGCTTTTCCTATACATAAAAGCACTTACAGAGGTACAAAGTCTGTTATATTCCTTAAGATGAAGGTATTGTTATACTATTTACTTTACAAATGAGGAAACTGAGTCCCAAAGAGGTAAGTAATTTGTCCAAGGTCACAAAAGTTACATTGAAAAGTAATCAACATATGAACCCAGTCTCCCCACTTCAGGGTATCACTATACTCTTCACCACTTCAGGGATGGCAAACTCAAACCCCTACAACTGTCAGGCAAGTACTATAAACTGGGGTCTGAGAAAGCACCACAACAAAGACAAACGGCAAAGGGCAGTTGACCTGAGGCTGAGAAAGACAACCGGGAGTGGCAGGGACTTTGCTCAACTCAAGAGTATGGTTTGTCTAAAGGGTGCAGGTGACCTGTGCTTCAGCCCACTGTTGCCAGGAACAAAAGCAGGCCCTTGGTGGGGGGTGGGGGTTGCTAAGAATTCATAAACTTGATTTTCCTGTGAAATTACCTGGTTTTAAAAGGTTAGCAATTCTTTGAAAATTTCCAGCCCTGTGTATGTCAAGTAAAATAAATCTGAGGCCTGGATTTGGCACTACAGTGTCTCCAAAGTAGTACATACCTACAAAAGACTATGGACCTTGAAAAAGATTCTATACCCAACTATCTAGACCAGCATGGTTCTCCAAGGCCTTCTGTCCCTTATTCTTCCATATCCTCATTTCTAAAACCCAGTAAGATCTGGGGGTTTTCTTCCCTTTGTTCTACTTTAATCTCATTATTCTATTTATTTTCAGAATGTCTTTACTATACCCTAACTTTAAAAAATGTAAGCAAAATACAAAAATACACCAGAAATTGTAAACTGACTATATGTCAATAAAAAAATAAATTTTAAAAAAGACAAAAATAATTTGTTGAAAATTGTTTACTTAATAAGTGGCAGGACCAGGATTTGAACTAGGACAGTCTGACACCAAAATCTTTTTTTCTATTATTCCTGTTGTCTCTCTATCACTGACTTGACTCGCTCCAATGCATTATTCGTATCTACATGAGAATACTCAGTCACCCGAAACTCTGCACACATCTGCAATTACCACTTCTCTCTCTTTGCTCTTAAGACACTTAATACCTCTATACAGTCTGAAACATCACATGATAATCACTGTTGATCAAATAATCCCTTAACTTGTAAACTTCTTGTTTACACCATATACTCCTCGCTTACACCAAATACCACTTTAATTTATCTCCAGATTCACACAAGTATAGCCTAAATGCTCCATAGTCTTAATAAATATGTCTTGATTCAATAAATGGGCTCTAGTGTTTATCAGATAGCAATTAAAAGGATAGAATGCATAGTGAGAAGAAAACAATCAGCCTCTCTTGGGCTGCCTTGCATTTCCCAGTAGTGCCAAGTCTCCATACTAAAGAAAGAATAGCTCAGACTATCTTGGAAAAATACATGTAGCTCCACCTTCATAGAGCTCTTTTCTCACTGTATGTTAGGCTTGGTCCCCATCCAGCCTGCAATCTGCTACTTCTTGACTAAATCAGCTGTCAGAAGCTATTTCCTAATCCTATTTTTAAGGCTGAATAGTATAAAAAAATTTAATAGAAACATGGAATTATAAGGAAAGGAAAAACTGATTCTCATACCGCTCACTTCCCGGTGTAGTAATTCTATAAAAGCGATGCCTTAAATGATGTTTATCTCCATGATAACAAACTGTGCACAAATCATAATTTGTACACTCCGCACATTTCCATCGAATGCCAATGATGGGCTGTTGGCGGCAGGTATCACACATGGTTCCATCATGCTTGATGCCTATTAAAACAAGGATACATGCTTATTTGAATACTATTCCCTAAGGGAAAAAACAAGAACACATGTTAAAAGTATTTCAATAAAGCAGGAAATAACATTTCAAATGTACCTATACAGTTTCAAGATAACAGATTGCAAATACTTTAATCAGTACAAATTACAGACTAAACATTTTCTACCCCTTCTTTTTTCATCAGTATAGACAGTGACAACTTTTTCCCCATCAACAATAAACTTCAGCCAACGATAGGCAAGCAAATTTCCCAGTTTAATGGGAAATAATATACTACAATTGGGTTTGTTGTGGTTTTATTTCCCTCCTTGAGGAACAAGAAGTAATAAACTCTAGAAAAAAGTAACTAAATTACATTTTACATATAATACATGTGCACAAAAAGACAGAAATATAAGCCCCGAAATGTGCTGATGAGATTGCCCTTTGTGGTTTTCCAAGTTTTCTACATTGAGTGTGTATTAATTCTAGGAAGCAGCTGGGTGAGTAGGGGTATTTAATATGTAGTATAAGCATCAGAAATGCTGGTATATGTCACTTATAGTTAAAATAAAAGCTAAAAATAAATAAAACCATGAGGAACTCAAAGCAAGCATTTACAGAAACCAACTTTCAAAGTTACTTTAAACGTGGGTAACTGCTACTCAGAAATTTTTATTTCCTTTAACCCTTACCCTAACTGAGCTATTTCATGCTTATGAAAAAGAAAAAAAATATATATATATACCTGCTCTAAGTATACTCGTCATTGCCACGTGCCTGAAGTTACAGTCTAATTTGTCTTACCACAGGAAAGCACCATGGCCAAAAACATCATAATATCAAACAGCAGTAACAGTAAATGTCCACATGGTGGTTAAGTTTCTGAACAAGGTCTAAAATAAGTCTCCTATGTCATCACAAAAAGTCAAATGCACCAAACAAATCAGTATCCACTACACACTAAGAGGTATATCCTAAACTATCTGGGCAGCTCTTCAAATGAGTGTTGATTGATGAAAGGCATACGGAAAATGTATCCCAACCTCCCCACCAGACCAGAAAAAGAAAAGTCCACTTTTCGGCTACTCCTCTAGTTATATCTTTTTCATCTCTAAGTTCACTTTCCACAAAGTACAACGATAACAATATTCATGAACTCATAATCTGAGTACAAGCTTTCTTTATAAGGAACAATTTAAACACACAATAACTGGTTTTAAAAAAAACTTCTACAATTCATGGTTTTAAAGAATACTTCAGGAAAACCATTAATGCACACAAAGCATATCCAAATCCTTTCTTGGTTCCCACAGTTCAAATGCCAATAAAGTTACTGAACAGCTGTGAAAGAGACTAATGCTGAGAACTGGAAAAAGTACACAAAGCAACCTTGTCCACTACCAAATCAAGCAGTACAGAATTTTTAATAAGAATGCAATTAATTGACTTTAAAACAAAAGTTGCTATTTAAAGAAAACACATAACAGGAGAAAGAGCATTAAATGAACATGGCCAACATTTTATTGATCTCTCACTTTGGTAGCTTTTCGTTTCCCCTGACCACAGCAACCCAATTCATTCTCATCTAAAACCATTCCCCACCAGGAGTCTAAACCTCCTTAAGCCTTGGCAAGAGCTATTCCTTAAAATTTTTATTTCATAAAACTTAATTCCCTAACTAAACCCATTAATGCTTTTTCCCCTTCCTATAGAACACCATATTACCCTAGAGAGTTAATGCTCTTTCCCTCTGCTAAGCTTTATGAAGACATCTGCCACCGTTAAATGAACCAACTGATGATAGCTTTTGACTCATTCGAATACTCAAATGACCATCTGCTCTACGTTTTCATGCCATCTCGCCTAAATTCAATAACTTAGAGAATTTACATAGCTTAAGTCTTTTTGTTGGGAAATTTTATGTGAACAGTAAAACATGTTAGTTGAGATCAATAACCACAAGTGTTTAAGGGAGCCAAGGAAAACAGCTCAAATTCACAAAGCACTGATTAATTTAAGTAAAATGTTAAATTTTTAGAGAGAAAAGATGACTGAGAGACGGTTCTCACTACAAGCAGTTCATTATATGAAGCACTTCTGCATAGAATAAGAATATTTAAATTACAACAGCAAAAGAAAAACTAAACAATATAAATGTTCATTAACAAAGGGGTGAAGACATCATTAGGTATACAATGGATTCCTAAAATGAATGTTCAAGAGCCACATAATTCAACATGGATGAATCCTTCAACCATAATGCTGAATGTTAAAATTATATAAGAATTTAAAATGTTGCAAATAAAGTACTATATATTATTTGCAAATATATACAACATAGCACAAATGTAAAGAAACACATGGGAATTACTAATTTCTATATAACAGTTACCTTAGGAGAGGAAGGGAATGAAATTGGGAAGAGGTACACAGAATGTTTGAAACATACAACGCTTTGTTTCTAGATAGGTTCACATGTATTTATTAACCACTTACCTACTTAGATATCTTAAATACTATACAATAAATTTTTAAACTTTTTTAAAATAAAAAATTAACATTTGTAGTAGACCAGTATAGCATCTAGTTAATCCTCTAATTTTTCCCCTAATTAAAAGATTTCACCTAACATTTCAATAATTTGCAAGTCATTAACCAATGTCTAAATGCAATTACTTATTGTGGCATAACTGTTTGCTGATGTCATTAAACCAACCAAGAATTCCTATTTCTGATTTATGGATCCATTGAACTTTAACACCAAATCAATGTGACAAAAGTTTACAGAGATTAAAGAGGGTTAAGCAAGTAGAGTATGCGACTTATTCTCCCTGAACCATCAAAGTACTTACTGGTTTAGAAACTGGCTGAAGTGTTAATTAAAATTCCTCACGAGAGAAAAAAAAAAAAAATTCCTCACGAGGGTGAGGCCTTTGTGACCTGTCAGCTGACTGGTATGTGCCACATCCCTTACTCTTGAGAAACAGTAAGTTAATGAAAATTGGACTGTTATTATTAATAATACTAGTCACTATTTAAATCAGTATCAAGCCAGGCACTTCACATACATTTTATTTAACCTTCTCAACAATACTAAAAGGTCGACATTATTCTCCTCACTTATAGACAAAGAAACTGAGCCTATGAAGTCACACATTAGTAAGGTCAAACCCATGTGAGTCTCATAACAAAGCTTGGCCTCTGACATTCTCCACTCCAACCAGGGTTTTTTCCCTACTTAGCTTTGATATTATTTGAAGAATAATTACACATCTAGGGCATCATGTTCCCCATTCAAACTACTGGATTCAAAATATCCTTTATTAAATCCTATTCTAATATTCAAATCAATCTCAAAGAGATCTATTTTAAAAAGTGAAAAGATTATCTACTTCTTAGTTAATTTCAATAATGTAGTAGAATGACACACCATCTACTTCCAAGAGTTAAGGAAATGTCTTTGAAAGTGTCTCACCCAAATTCTTTTTTTTTTAACATTTTTTATTGACTTATAATAATTTTACAATGTTGTTCACCCATATTCTAAAACTCCCTTTTCGTATCTTTATTATTAGAAGTAATTCTCTCATCTATTTTTGCAGCCTCTGCTACTTTATTATAAGCTTGCATAATAAAATTACAATCATGTCTCATATAGTTCAAACAAAAGAAACAAGGTGTCAAATTAGGCATAGAACTGGCAATTTTAGTAATATATTTGTTATTTTTAGACCTTGTTACACAAAGGTAGAAAATTAATGAGGTCATGATATACAGAAATCTGTTACATTTCTATACACTAACACTAAAGTATCAGAAAGAGAAATAGTAAACTGGTGAAGCGACTATAGAAATCAGTATGGAGGCCCCTCAAAAAATTAAAAATAGAACTACGATATGATATAGCAATTTCACTCCTAGGTATTTTTCCAAAGAAAACAAAAACATTAATTAAAAAAGATATATGCACCCTAGTTATCATTTCAGCATTATTCAAATTATCCAAGATATGGAAGCATCCTATGTGTCCATGAATAGATGAATGGTTCAAGAAGATATAGTAGATTCACACAATGGATTACTTGTCCATAAAAAGTAATGAAATCTTGCCATTGCAATGTGCATGGACCTAGAGGGAATTATGCTAAACGAAATAAATCAGACAAAGACAAATGCTGTATGATTTCACATATATGTGAATTCTAAAAAAAAAAAAGAACAATAATGAAACAGTCATAGATACAATTCACTTTTAAAAATATGATAAATTATCGATCTCATTCTTAATAAAATCATGCAAAAGAACAGTGAGATAAATTCTGCTATACCAAAAAAATAATAATGTGGTCAAACAAAAATGTGAATTTTATCCACTTAATTTTTTTTTCCTGCTAGCAGATAAAAATTCATTATTTCATTTTAGAAGCAAAACATCTATCTGCATACCTTGACCTACTCCAACTTCATTTTACACATGAAGAATTAAGGCTTTTTAAGACTAATGTTATAAGTTGGGGGGACTGACAAAACTGGATTTGAATCTCCACCATCAAATACTTCTAAAATCTTAGGCTAATTAGCTCATTTCTCATAGTCTGTTTTCTCATCAGTAAAGCTACCTAATTAGATTAAGTAAGATAAAGTATGTAGAAGATTTAGCATAGTTCTTGATGCCTAACAGGAAGTCAGTAAATGTTAGTCCAATTCTGCTAGTTAACAAGCTCATGTGAGAAAATCTAAAATGAACAAATACTCTGATTTCCCTACTAAGGGAAACTTAGTACTACTCCACTTTTCCATTATTCCATGAAAAGAGATCGGGAGAGAGGTGTGAGCAAGGCATTAGAACGTAAAATATTACAATCTCAAGCTTTTATGGTTTATTATCACTAGGCCTGCAAAACTCCCAGAATTCAAATAATGATTTTTTTTTAAATATCAAAAAGTTTCCACCCATTTCTTGCTTTCTTTAGAAACAAATTTATCATTAGGAGGATAAATCCAC